TAGCAATGTGTGTATAAATTTTTGTATGAGAAACTGGGCGACTGGAACTGTAAACCTTCACTTAAAGCACAATTAAAAAAAAAAAAAGGCCAGCAGTGTGAAGAGAGAGGGAGTCAAGAGACCTGGATTCTGGTCCTGGTTCTGTCACTGTTTATCTCTTCGGCTATCTGCAAGTCTTCTCACCTTTCTGAGCTTCATAGTTCTTCTCTGTAAAATGAGAATACTTCCTACCCTGCCTGTCTCACCGGATTATTACTAAAGAGCAGAAGAGGTAACATGGGTGAAAAAGTTTTGTAAAACATCAAGCACTTTGTGAAAATCTTTTTATCTTTGCGTTCTAAAGGCAGAAAGGGGGTCAATGTTTGTTAATGTTCTGAAACTTTAAACCACTTAAAACCTATTTTAAAACTCAGGTGAATAAAAAGTGTAAGGATGAAAGTAAAGATTCCTGTAATTCCACTCCCGCAAAACTAATTAAAAAAAAATTTTTTTTTCTTCAAAACGTACCACGTCCTGGTCTGGCTTAAGAGAATTACACAAAGCTTCATTTATGCGTTTATCTGGGAACGTGTTGAAACTCGTTTTAAAGTCAGCTTTTGTGTTGCCTTTCACTTTTTTCGCGAAGAGCCTGCACTGGGGCCTCCTTTGTGCAAAAAACCATCGCAGTCCAAGAGAAAGTGGCCTTTGGCAGAACAAATTCCTCCTCCCCGGATGTTCTCCTTTCACGACGATTTAAGAAGGCTTCGCAGCTCAACGGTGATCAAATACTATCACCTGCGGTTATTACTCCAGGCAGAGACCCAGAGAAACTACACCGCCTCCGCCTTCCGCCGCTGTACCAGGGCCACTTCCGGTGACACCCGGAAGTTCCTGTCGCTTAGCAACCGGAGGATTCCCGCAATCTAACAGGGCCTCGGAATCGACTGGACCGCACCACAATGGGGTACTACGGCCTTGAGCAGAGCTGCGAACCCCATGAAGTTTCCGTTCTGCTCTAGAGTATGGATACCCGCAGCCTCCCACCCATCCTATCATATTGCTACTGGGGTTTCTCCTGTGCCCAGAAAGTTGTGCCAGTTAGCCAGAGGCACTCTTTTTCAATACATCCGTCATCCCTTCCATTTCTTGAGCATCTGTATGTCAGGCACCACTTAATCTAACCCAGATAATTATACAGTCCATCTCACTGATAAGAAAGGTTCCCCACTGACTGCTCTGACCAGGATCACAACAGAGGGTTCTGGACAGAGCTGGAGAAGGATATAGAACATAATTCTAACTCACAAAAAAAAAAGACAGATTTACTGGCCTAAAGGAGACTGGAGAAACCCCGAGAGTATGGCCCCCAGACACTCTTTTAGCTCAGTGGTGAAGTTATCTCCGAGGTTCACCGTTCAGCCTGGGAGTGGACAGCCCCGTAAAACCAAATGAGACTAACGAGGTACAGTAGTCCAGTGACAGGGGCCAGAAGGCGGAAGGGGACAAGGAAGCTGGTGATAGGGAACCCGAGGTTGAGTAAGGATATTGTTGTGATGTGAGATTGTTAACCATTGTCATAGGGCAACGTGTAGTAACTGTTAAATGAGAAACTATTTTGTTCTGTAAGCCTTCATCTTAAGTGAGAATAGCAGCACAATTGGAAGAGCGTAGTCAATGTCACTAAACTGTGCGTGCAGAAATTTTTGAAATGGTGTATCTTTGGCTATGTGTATTTTCACCAAAAAAAAAGGTTGAGAAGTTAGAGGGTTGACATGTTGTGGGGTTGTTAACCAATGTCATAAAATAATATGTGTACTACTGTTTCATGAGAAACTATTTGTTCTGTAAGCCTTCACCTGAATAAAAAAAAGTGAAAAAAAAAACTTTTTAATAAATAATACAGTGAGTTATACGTTGGGCAATAGAGATGAACTATAATGTGGAGGTCATCTTTTACATGATATCAGGGTTGACTGAGAGAAAATTTTATTCTTACATGTAATGAGGGTCCCACAAAGGTCACTTTGTAAAGTCAGACGAGATGATATGCCAAGTGTGCTGGTCTTCCCACATGCTTTTCAACCCAAACACATAAAACACTGTACTCCTCCAAAGTATATATTTTTGTCTGAAAGAAAAAATAAATAAATTGCAAAAGAAAAAAAAATAAAAAGAAAGCCAGGTTTGGAAGGGCTGAGGCCCTCAACCTGAAGGAGCTGTACAGAGGGCACACAATAGGAACGCTGTCCTGCTGAAGCCCACAGTCTTGGCCAGCATTCTGCCTACTGGTCTGCCACTCAGGAGGCCCGAGAAGGTGCAGCAGCAATTTAAACCTTTACCCAACATGCTTTATTTTCTATAATGACTTATAAGCCCAAGTCCCCAGGGGGCCAGAGATCCCACCATGCAAAATAGCAAACAGAGGCAGGGCCTGGTGAAGGATAGTGAGAAATGGATGGTGTGCATCCAATTCCCATAATCCTGGCTCCAATGGGATACCTTCAGAGTGAGGAAAGGCAAGTGTTTTTGGTCTCTCTGATATCTGGACTAAACTAATCAGGTGCTCAGGAGGAAGTGAAAGGCTGGGGTATGAATCCTCTCTGGCCTGAGCAAAGCTGGATGGAGTCTGTGCTACCCGATGGCTCCAAGCACTGCTCAGAGTGTCAGCCCCCGGTCCTCGAACAGCTTTTTTAGAGCCTCTTCTAGCTGCTGGTTTGTTCCCTGAAGGCCCCTCACCACCTGAGCTGCCCACTGGAAGTATTCTTGAACACGATGTTCTGACCATCCTGCATGAGAGCAGAGAGAAACCTGCTTGTGTGACGTCAAGGACAATACTGGCTTTTGCCCACTTTCTGGAGGGCTTGATGCAGGGCCATGAGTTCCTGATGGGATGACTTGTTCTGAAAACTTCTCTTTGGCCCATCTATTGTATTTATACTTTAAGAAAAAGATCAAAGAATGATCTAATAGGATTAATTTGGGGGATTAACAAGTTAGGTCCAGGCCTTTTACATGGGATCTGAGTAGGCTGTGCCTCCAGAAGGTGGACATCCCTCCCCCTTCCCTGAGAGCAGGTGGGGGAGCGTACCCTTTGGGGTGGACCGATTCAGGTCCCTCAGATTGTACAGCTTGTCTGCCAGCTTCACCAGTTTGGCCCCCAGGCTGCTGTTGGGCGCCTGCTCCACTTGCAGCCGCTTTCTCTCCAATTTGGGCAGAGTCTTGTCATCTGTCACCTCCTCCACCAGGTGCCGCACCTGTGCCCCAAAGTGCAGCTCCACCTCATCCAGGGTGGTGTTTGTGTCCTCCACGGTGTCATGGAGCAGGGCCGCCTGGGGACAGGGCTCCCACTCAGTCCTGTGACACCAGCCAAGGGGCGCCCAGAGCTGAATGGGGCCCCTGAACCCCAACCCAGCCTCCTAGCAGAGTAGAAGAGTTACCTGTAACACCACAATATCAGTGATTCCCGCCTCACGGGTCAGGATCCGAGCCACACCTGACAGAGCAAAGCAGGAAGAAGTCAGACCGGAGGGAACCACAAGGCGGCGTGTTGTGGGTTTTGCAATCAGCCAGATGTGGCTTCTTACTAGCTGGGTGACAACTGAAAAACGGAACAGTCATGCCTGCCGCACTGGGTTGGTGTGAAGCTTAGACTGCATACCGCACGAACAGTGCCTGGCATAAAGCTTGGTACGGAGCAGGCGCTCGATAAGGTGCAAGTCATCCGCGTCCCCGTCCCCATCCCTGCCCCCCAGGCGCAGCGGCAGATTCTCCCCAGCCTGCGCGCCCACCGATGGGGTGGTTGATGTAGGGCGTCTCTTCGGGGTCCTTCCGCCGCTGCCATCGGTGCTTGCGAGCCGCGAAGTCCGCAGCCTCCAGCACCTGCGCCACCTCGGAGCCCATTGCGCGGATTGCGCAGGTGCCTGTGGCCTCGGCCGCTCGTGAGCCCGGCCGGAGCGTCCACAGCGCCCCCTGGCGCCGCGGAGGCCCGAGGGACTGCGTCAGGCCCAGCTGGCTGCAACCGGGCCTGACCCAGCTGGCTTCCTGCCCCGGGCCCGTCCCAAGGGGCTAACATCAAGGGCAGAGAAAGCAACTAGTGTGAGGAGCTGCCCTCTGCGTCGCAGGTTCTGGTTCAGTGCATTTTGTTCGGCGCTGGGGGTACAAGACGAACATGGCTTGGCTCGCAGGGAGCCCACAGGCCACCCACAGACAGGAACACACACAGTGGCCTCACTGTGTGCTGAGTCCAGGGCAGGAAGTCGCAGGGACCTCTGGTGCCCTGGAGGAAGGGCATTTCACCTAGCCTGGGGTCAGAGACAGCTTCTTCCAGGAGGGGCCTCTTCCCCGATGAAAAGACATCTTTAACCTGTCAATGCTCAGGAAATTCTCAACTCTGCTGATCATAGTTTTCCCTGTAGGCATGGGCATGGTTGCTATGGGCACAGAGCCTCACCTTTGAGCGCATAAGACCCTAGGGAAATTGGAGCCTACTCTGGTAGCCCTGCCTAATTGCTTCAGATTTAAGCTCTCAGTCAGCACTGGTGTTTCTGCAGGAACTGTCTTCTTTGCTCTCCATTGCTGGAACGGAAATTTACATTGCTTTCTTATGCCATAGGACGCCTACTTCAGTCCCCAGGCAGCTGCTCTGGGCCCCTGGGGTGATGAGTGTTGTTGCTGCTGTTCCGGGAGCATGTGTTGTCAGGCTGGGGTAGATGCTGGAACAACACTTAAGGCTGCTGGCTGGTTGCTTCAGGCTTTCTGAAGAAATTCTCTGTCAGTGGATGGCAGCTATGCAGTATGAAGGGTAAGAGAGACTTGGAGGACCCCCATCTCTCTTTCTCTCTCTCACACACACACACTTCTCTGTGAGATGGGTTGGCTAGCTGCTAAGTATACTACAACCAGATAGGTAGCTTTTGTGCTTTGGCTCTAGCTTAGGCAGGTGAGGGCTCAGGGGAAAAGGTGCCAAAAGGACTTCTCCATGATTTTCAGCTAGTCTTGGTTGCCATGCTGTAGAGGTTAGAGAGGGAAGCTCCAAATGCTGGTCTCTGGGGCTTGAAATGGAATGGTCAGAATCCCTAGGACTTCCACTGTAGCCTGGAAGCTGGAGAGTGGAGAGAAAAGAGCTCTAAATGCTTGTCTGTTCTCCAGGCTAATGGCTCAACTTTTCTCTCATCATTCATTCTGTCATCTAGTCTTCTCAGCCTTTTCCCCTTCAGCTCAGAAAGCTGTAGGCAGGCAGCTTGGAGCCATAGTCCCCACATTTTCCAACAGGGGATAGAAATTCAGTCCCTTTCCTCTCTATTTAGAGGCGTGTGACAGAGAAGCTTCAGGTGTGTGTTAATGGTGCCTGAGGACCTTGGATTTAATTTTTATTTCCTTACTCCCTGCAGTCATGGCTTAGAAAGAGAGATGTTGAGGTTTCTAGGACCAGGGCTGAGGTGGAGGTGACTTCCCATGGGCTTCCAGAGAAAGCCAGGCCCCCTGCTGACAGGCCTGTCTGTGGGGCTACCACTGTTCTTAGGCTTGGTGACCCTCGCCCAGCCGACCTCTCTCTCAGGTACAACACTTCCCACCTCATCACCCACCCACCCCACCCCAAACATCCTCTACTTGCAGCAGGTGGAATGGGCTACTCTGGGGAGCTGTTGGGGAGGGGAGGAAGGGAGCCTGCCTCTCTGGGACTGGCTGATCCCTTTCATTCTCTGGAAGGGATGGGGTGGGATGTGGGCAGATCACTCCTTCCTAACTCCAGCCCCTTTGTCCCTCCCTTCAGCATTGGCCCACCACCCCCACTTGTGCCAAACCACCCGGGACGCCGATGGCCGCCACTACCCAGGCTTCTGTCCTCGGCTCTGGGATACTCCGGAGGAAGCCTACTGCTGCCATCTGCAGGCTGCAGGGGCCTCCTGCTGCACCCGGGCTGAATTTGAGGCCTTGTACCAGCTCAGTGTGTCCACTCTTCCGCCCCCGCGCATTCTCAGGTGAGAACTCCCGCAGAAAAGCAGCTGAAAAGCCACTGGGACACGGACAGCGTGTTCCAGGATCTGGGGGTCTGTTCTTGAATTCTGGATGAAGACCTGTAGTTTACAGACTAGTGGAGGAACAAACATTAAACAGAAATTATATGAAGAAAATGTTCGGGGCCTGTAAAACTGGATAACTGGAAGCCATTGTGTGTGTTGGGTGAAGGATTAAATCTCAGAGGACCTTGTAGTCCATGCATTATACGCTTTATAGTAGGCAGGACCACATTGCCCAAACAAACAAGATACGCATGGGTCTAATTGTGTTTTCTTACCAATCTGCGGTAGTTTCACCCGTTGCCAACACATAAAAGTTGTGGTGAAACGTGAAAGTGCTCACCACAGATTAGCAAGTAAGTGCAATTAAGCCGGTGCATACTTAACCCGACAGGGGTTTTAAATCCTGAATCTGCCCATAGATGTATGCAGGGTGAGTCCCTGAATTTGTATGTAAATATTTGTGTGTATGCATGTCTTCATTTTATCCAGGGAGAAGGTCCCGAATTTTCAGGGGGTCTGTAACCCACAGTCAGTAGCATCAAGTCTACAGGCCCCTGATACACTCTGCTTTTCCACAGGGGTACGGGCCCGCTCCTAGCGCTGGGACTCTACAGCCTGTTGCTCGTGGCCCTGATGACCGTAGACATCGTGCATTTCTGCCGCGGTCGGAGCTCAGGCAGCAGCGGACCGCGCGCTCCATCCTCCGCCGCGCGCCCCCTGCAGGTCCCTGAAGGAACAGGCTAGGATTGCCCGCATCTTCTCTGCGCCTGCGGACCCGGTCGACAGCCCCGCCCCTTCCTCTGTGCGCTCTCTCTCCTTGGCCCCGCCCTGCTCTGCCACCGTCTTTGACGCAAGGCTAAGGCGGGGCCAGCGACTACACATTCCAGAGCTTAGACCCACCCCGCCCCAGAGACTGCGCCTGCGCGGGCCCAGGACGTCTGCTTCGCGATGACTGTGAGTGGTCCAGGGACCCCCTGAACGCCAGCCTGCCGCCCCGGGGATGCGTACTCATCCCGCGGCGCCGTCCTTCTTCGCACCTGCCCTGACCCTTCCCTGGCCTCCTCCCCACCCCAGTCTTGACCCTGACCCCAAGCCTCCTCTCCCCAGCTCTGCCCTGTGCCCACCTCCGACGTCTCCACCCCCTTATCTCCACAGGAAAGTTCAGTGGAGCAGCTGCGGAAGGAGGGCAACGAGCTGTTCAAATGCGGAGACTACGAGGGCGCCCTGACCGCCTACACTGAGGCCCTGAGTCTGGACGCGGGGCCCCAGGACCAGGCCATTCTGCATCGGAACCTGGCCGCCTGCCACCTCAAGCTGGTGAGGGAGCCGGGCCATCCTGCCCCTGGCTTGCGCGGCCCCCAATTTGCCCATCTCGGTTGCTGCTTGGGCCGTGCCTGGGCATTCTCCTTCCTAGGCCCAACACACTTTTCATGTCTTTTGGGCCTCGGGATGGTGGGGATCAGGTGCCCTTGGGGACCAAGCGTCCCTCTGCTGCCTGATAGTGCCCGAAAGGGAGCTGACCAGTCTCTCAGGCTCCTGTTCTTTCTCTTACAGGAAGATTATGGCAAAGCGGAAACTGAGGCATCCAAAGGTAGGGGAATGTGGGCTCTCTTGTGGAACCGTGGGGCTTCTATGGTGTCAAGGACTCTGGGACCACTGCACCTTCACATTCTTTTCTTCTTTTGGCCCCTGAAACACGTCTGCCTTCTTTCTTTCCCATTTTCTGGGGCATTTCCTTTTCTACAGCTACTCTGACCTTTTCTGAGGCTGAAGTACCAAGCCCTGCATCCGTTCCCCCTCCTTCCTCTGGCCCTCAAGATCTTTCCTTTCTGCTCTTGCCTGGAGACTGTGGCCTCATGGGTGCTGACAGAGCTCCCGTTTCTGCTCAGCCATTGAAAAGGACGGCGGGGATGTCAAAGCACTTTACCGGCGGAGCCAAGCCCTAGAGAAGCTGGGCCGCCTCGACCAGGCTGCCCTTGACCTGCAGAGATGTGTGAGCCTGGAGCCCAAGAACAAAGTTTTCCAGGAGGCCCTGCGGAACATTGGGGGCCAGATTCAGGAGAAGGTGTGTGAGTGACCGAGAGCTGGAGGCATTGACTGGTGGTAAAGGAGCATTGATAAAGGAATCCTGGCCAAGGGTGTAAACAGGCAGCTCATGGGAGAGGAGATGCTGATGACAAAGAAGCATGTAGAGAGATGCTCACGCTTGCCAGTGATTAGGAAAAAGCAAATTTAAATGACAGCAAGGTACTTTTTCTTGGTGATTTGTTTGGCAAACATGTTGCTAGAAGGAGGGAGGCAGACAGTTGGTGAGTTACAGGGACACCGGTTCTTTCATGACTGCTGGGGAGGTGTGAGTTGGTACAGCTCCTTTGGAGGGTGCTTTAGCATCTGTTAAAATCTAAAATGAGCACATCCTCACTGTCTACGCTAGAGAAACCTTGCCCATGTGCAGATATAGGCGTGTGCCTGTTTTTTCCAGCCTTGTCTGTAGTAACAAAAAATTGGAACTTGCCTAAATGTCCAACACTAGGGGAATGGCCTTACCACAGACTTCTGTGTTAGCAAGAAGAGGTGGCTCCATGCTTATTGACATGCAAAGTTTTCTGATACTTGTTGAATGCAAAAAGCAAATTATACAATAAAACATGTAGTATGATACCATTTATGTTAAAATGCTCTCCCACATACACACTCAAAACTGTTATTTTTTTTTCTATGGGTATACTTGGATATGTAAACATGAAGAAAAAAATTTAAAGATATACCTCAAAATGGTAACAGTGTGATCCTTGGGGAAAGGAGTGGGCTTTTCAAAGGAAACTGTGCCTCATCTTTTTTTTTTTTTAATGAAGAAACACTATTTGTATAGCACATGTAATTAAAAATGTATTTAAAAGAAAGGAATTTAAAGACCATTATGAGTTATAGCCAAGTTTGAATTAACCAGATAATTTAGTGTTAAAATTCTGATACAGTGGAGGCAAGTGATATGATGGCAAACACCTTATTGAAAGGTTGAGACCTGGGAAAGCAAGTAGTTTTCCTCTCAGCGCCAGCTTTTTTTGATCGGCTGTGGCTGCCTAGAGCCTTGTCTTGAGAAGATTAGGAAACAGGTCTTCTGGACATAGTAGGAGACATGCCATGATTGATCAGTTGTGTCTGCCATGGATTCAAGAGGGGAGTGGGCGACACAAGTGCTAGACATATGCCATCCACGCCTAGGACCTGGGAAAGGGAATGGGCCTAGAGTGGTCTTACCCATCCAGATTGTTTGAAAGACTGTCAAAGGGCAATTCTGAAGCTAAAGGGAGTGTGAGCAGCTCTCTTACGGCCTGCCTGCTCCCTTGCAGGAGGTATAGATGCCGAGTTAATGCCACATATTGTGTACTCATGCTGCCACAACATAAATGGCACCGGGGGGAGTGGGTTGGCTTGTGGCTAACTGGACGCCTCCCCTTCTGAGCGGCACTGCCTTCAGCATCAGCCCTGCCTCTGCTGCCCAAGCAGGAAGTAGCTCGAGAGGAGCTGTAGGGCAAGTCTCTTCCTGCCCAAGGCAGCTTGGTGCTGTCCTGAGCCCAGGCATCCTCGCTGTGCCTCAGAGACAGGAGCCAGGCCCTGGGAGGAGCCAGTGAGAACAAATGGGGAATGTGTTGTCTCTGTCTGAGAGGGGTGATGTCTTCCATGCTTTGTTGGTTTGTCAGGTGCGATACATGTCCTCGACGGATGCCAAAGTGGAACAGATGTTTCAGATACTATTGGACCCAGAAGAGAAAGGCACTGAGAAAAAACAAAAGGTATAAGCCCGGGATTGAGCCAGACAGGGCTGAACTCCCACTAGAGCTGCCTGTCCAGAGCGCCCTCCGTGTTTGCTGATGTTGGCCCAGATGTTCCTGCTGGCCTGGTTGGGAGCTCTGAGGGCCTGGGGCCTTAGTGTGAACCAAGGAGAGAGAGTTAATGTTGATGGAGCACCTTGTTGGCCAGGCCTTGTGCCAGGAGCTAGGGGTACAGAGGTGAATGACGTACCATCCCTGCCCTTCAGCTTCTACTGGGGATTCACGACCCCATTTACTGTAAGCATCAACCCTGAGAAGAAGCTTGTCTATCTACTTTTACACATGAGGAAACTGAAGTTCATAGAGGTTCATTTTATGGCCATGGTCACTCAGCTGCTGAGGGGAAGCAGTGAGGTCCAGAGCTCAGGGCCTCTGCTTGCCCTACCCCTGCTGTGTGCAGTGCTTTTGTTATAATGTGCTTCCTTCAACGCAGGCTTCTCAGAACCTGGTGGTGCTGGCCCGGGAGGACGCTGGAGCTGAGAAGATCTTCCGGAACAATGGGGTGCAGCTTTTGCAACGCCTGCTGGACACGGGCGAGACTGACCTGATACTGGCGGCTCTGCGCACACTGGTCGGCATTTGCTCTGAGCACCAATCCCGGGTAGGTGGGGTAGAGGTTACTGCTTCCGTCAGTCTGTCCATCCATCCATTCACTCAGCCTTCGCGTGCTTACAAAAGAACTTACAGCAGCTGTCTTAGTTATCTAGTGCTGCTGTAACAAATACCACAAGTGGATAGCTTTAACAAAGGGAAGTTTATTTCTTCACAGAAAGTAGGCTAAAAGTCCAGATTCAGGGTGTCAGCAGGGCCATGCTGTCTTTGAAGGCTCTAAGGGAAGCTCCTTTCTTGTCTCTCCCAGCTCTGGTAGCCAGAGGTGTTCCTTGGCTTGTGGCAGCGTCACTCCCATCTCTGCCTCCGTCTTCAGGTGGCCGTTGTCCCTCTATGTGTCTTCTCTTTTGTAAGAACACCAGTCACATTGGATTAGGGCCCACCCTACTCCCGTGTGACTTCATGTTAACTAGTAACATCTTCAAAAACTGTACTTCCAAACAAGGCCACACACACAGGTACCAGGGTTTAGGCCTTCAACATATCTTTTTGGGGATTGTAATTCAACCCATAACAGTGGAGTACAAGGAGATGTTTAGCAAGAGAGGAGAAAGAAAAATGGCACAAAAAAGATCAACATGGTTTGGGACAAATGGGGCCAGGAAAGAGCAGACACCACCCTCTAACACTGAGCACTTGCTTCAGGTGGGCTGCCTGCAGCCAGCTCCCAAAGGGACACCTGTCATTGACTCATAGTCTCCGTAAGGTAAAAGCAGGCACCTGTTCCTGCTCTGAAGGTCAGACTGGTTATTCCCCTGGAGGGTGTCCTCAGCAGCAAGAGGTGTGGTTAGCAGTGTCACCCACAGCATCCTTGCCTTTGAGACAGTGACCAGATATATAGGACTTGACCTTGAACTGATTCCCAGTGTAGACTGAGGATTTCTTAGCACAGGGCAGTTCAGTGAGAACAGCCCTGCCCCTGGGGCCAGTGTGGTGAGCTCCAGAACCCCAGCTCTGGCCTGAGCTGGCTTGACCCCGGGGACAGGGTCTGACCTCTTGGTCACTCCTAGAGGAGCCCACAGTGCCTAGATCAGGGGTGGATCTGTGCAATATTCCATGAAAGCTCTTCAGGCCAAGCTCAGGCTCTATTTCTGGGTCTTCCCAGGCTGAGAATGATAAAACCAGTGTAAACCCATCTACCTCCTTCAGCATTCCTGTCTGTCCCAGTGTGAACTAGGATAGACTCAGCTTAGAAATGGGGACGGAGAAGCCTTGCAGGCCCATCTGATGCACGTCCATTTCCACAGGGTTGGGACTAGGGTGGGACCAGGTGTCCTTGGGCCTGTTAGCTAGCTTTGTCCAGGTTTTTGTGTCTTCTTCCTGGGGGGACAAAGCCGCTGCCCTTGGGGCCACAGTAATCCTCGTCTTCTCCGATTGGAGCCAACTGGAGGGGAGGTAGTGGTGGACTCCTCTGGAATGTTTTCTTTAGAAAGCCTTTCCAAGGAGACTCCGGGGGCACACCCTGAGACAGGCTCACTTTGTTTTCACCTGGAGCTGGTCCTTCCACCCAGATGTTTTCTCACCTGTAGGCCACACTCTTCGACTCCTAGTTAGGAATCTTTATGGCTGCCCTTGCCAACAAGTGACTTCTGTCCACTCTCCCACCCCAGACAGTGGCCACCCTGAGCATGTTGGGAACTCGGCGCATGGTCTCCATCCTTGGCGTGGAAAACCAGGCTGTGTCCCTGGCAGCCTGCCACCTGCTGCAGATTATGTTCGATGCCCTCATGGAAGGCGTTAGGAAAGGCTTCCGGGGGAAAGAAGGCGCCATCGTCGTTGGTGAGTGGAAGCAGGTCTGTGGCCCCTGGGACGTTGCCATCGCGGAGGGGGTGGGACTGACCAGCCAGGCCAGCTCTTTTGCGAAGAGACTTGCAGCTGCAAGTTGTTCAGGAACGTGTCTTGGCGACAGTATTTTACTCTAGATCCTAAGCAGCAGCGGGTCTGAGGGGGAGGCTGGAGTCTGGCCAAGCACCTAGGATGCAGGTGTCCCCTTCCCTGTGTCTCCCTGGCCTTTTGGGGAAGTTCAAGGGTCAGACCACGGCTAGACTACCATGGAGCCCACTGATGTCTTCTTGGCAGATCCTGCCCGGGAGCTGAAGGTCCTCATCAGTAACCTCCTGGAGCTACTGACTGAGGTGGGGGTCTCAGGCCAAGGCCGAGACAATGCCCTGACCCTCCTGATTAAAGTGGCGCCTCGGAAGTCTCCTAAGGACCCCAACAACAGCCTCACCCTCTGGGTTATTGACCAAGGTATGTGACACAGTTTAAAAGAGAGAGAGACTGAACATACGTTGCTTTGGTGGCCGAAGTCTGCTTATCCCCAGGAGTTAAGAAAAGTTGTGATTGTAGCTAGACGTGTTTGCGCTGACGTGCCCTCTGTGGCCTGCGTTGTCCCTGAGGAATCACAAGGTTAGACCCTGCAGCCCTCTGTGTGCACAGCCGCACACACATCAGGCCCGCAGGCAGGCTAACAGAGCTTATCCCTGAGTGGGTGAGGCTATACTAGCTTTCCATGTCTGAAGTTTCTTTCCCTAAATGTGTGTTACTTCTATACTCTGGGAAAAAAGTCTAATATATAAATCCAAACTTCTCTTTTCTCCTAAAAGATAAATAAAAGAAAACCTTTGCTAAAGGCCTCACATAATGAGCACATCAGTTGGATGGTTTCCCACACCTCATCTTTTGTTTTCCCAGTAATTCCATGTGGTATGGGTGTGATTTTCCTCTTCAGTTTTACAGATGACGAACTTCAAAGCCCCAGAGCACTGGGCCCCACATGTAGGGCCGGGATGTAGCCCTCACTTCTGAGGTCCTTCCTGACATCACAACTGCCCCTGTAGGTAGCAGATCACCAGCTGACTCTCTGCACCTGCCCTCACATGGTTGTCTGGACTCTGTACCTTCTCATCTCAGAGGGAGGTGATCCTGTTCTTCTGTGCATCTCCCAGGAAACCTCTTCCCTTTATCCGTAGGGATTGGAACTAGTGTTCTCCGGGCTAAATAGGTGTCTTTTCAGGTCTGAAAAAGATTCTGGAGGTGGGGGGCTCTGTGCAAGACTCTCCTGGGGAGCTCGCGGTGACCGCCAACAGCCGCATGAGTGCCTCCATCCTCCTCAGCAAGCTCTTCGACGACCTCAAGTGTGATGCCGAGAGGGAGAATTTCTACCGACTCTGTGAAAACTACATTAAGTAAGGGAGTCTCCCCATCTCGCATTGCCAGGGGGGTCCAACTAAAAGTTCTGGTTCTTTGAGGAGGGACAACAGAGAGAGTAACCTGGGGGAGGACAGGCAGAGGATAAACAAAGTCGTCCTGAACCCCCTTCTTGTTCCAGAGTGACCCCAGCCAGGGAAGTTTTTTCTCAAGTCAGTTTTCTGATAACAGACGTCCTCAAGCACATGCCGTGTTTACTGAACGCCTACAATGTATCTGTGCCGACACAGCGGTGAACCGTGACCATCCTTACCTTCAAGGAGCTTACAGTTTGGGGCAGGACCGATGATAAACACATTATGAAATCAACAATGATTTCAGAGCATGATAAGTTCAGGAAGGAAATGAACAGGGTGCATGAGTGAGAGTACGAGGGACACCCTGTTAGGTGGTGTGTTATCAGGGAAGGCAGGAATGAAAGCCTGGATAAAGAAAATCAGCAACTGTTGAAAAGTCCTAGTCCTTTCTTGTTGGCAGCTTTTCTTAACGTTTCTGCTAAAGTGGTGCAGGTGCCTGGCCAGTGGAGGGGGGAGGAGAAGGGAGGCAGGGTCGTCCTTTTAAGCTGGTCTTGGTCTGACAGCTGTCACCCTGTGCCCCTCAGGAGCTGGTTTGAGGGCCATGGGCTGGCCGGGAAGCTGCGGGCCATCCAGACGGTGTCCTGCCTCCTGCAGGGCCCAAGTGAGGCTGGCAACCGGGCCCTGGAACTGAGTGGCGTCATGGAGAGCGTGATTGCCCTGTGCGCCTCTGAGCAGGAGGAAGAGCAGCTGGTGGCTGTGGAGGCTCTGATCCACGCAGCCGGCAAGGCCAAGCGGGCCTCGTTCATCACTGCCAATGGCGTCTCACTGCTCAAGGACCTGTACAAGCGCAGCGAGAAGGACAGCATCCGCATCCGGGCGCTGGTGGTAGGACAGGGCCGGGGCTGGGGCAGGCAAGCAAGCAGCCATGTAGGGGTGCCAGCCAGGCTGGTGTCTCAGGGTATGGCACCAGCAGGCACTAGAAGAATATTCAGGATACTTAGGGCCTTGTTGGGGCCAGAGGCCTGGGGCCTGGTTCTGTCCACCATGGGGCGTTCAGTCAAGTCAGGAGATGAGCTGTGTAGAGGGGCCACGTGACAGTGCAGGGCAGCACTTGGAGGCATTGGGAGGAGCTCCTATGGGAGATGATGGCAGAGTTTGGAGGCTGCAGTTGGGCCATGTGAAAAGGCAGGGCCTGTGGGGGACATGCAGGCATCTCCAGGAGCTGGTGTTTGGGGACTGCCTGGGTGGCCCTCCATAAGTGCACTGCAGCCATGCACCTTGAGGAAGCTGGTTCTCCTGCTAGAGAAATCCATCCCATAAGGATTCTGGCCTTGGCTGAAGCACCTGTTTTTTTTCCCACACAAGCCTTGGCTCCACTTGCAAAGAGCTCTTCTGTACCGACACAGAAAAGAATGGAGCAAATCTCAGGGCAAGACCAGTGCAGGTTGGGCAGGGCTGGGGCCCAAGACAGTCCAGTGGTCAATGCGTCGGTTTCTACCAGTGTTATGTCACATGGCTACCCCGACAGCTGATTTTGCTGCCAAATGCTCTGTGTGGTAGACTGGTGGGGCAGGGGGCAGAGTGCCAAGGAGGGAAGCCACGCCAGGTGTAGAGAAGCCCTGCCTGCATCCCCGGGCCAGGCAGCTGGTTCTTGCCCTCTTCCTCCAGGGACTCTGTAAGCTTGGCTCGGCCGGCGGAACGGACTTTAGCATGAAGCAGTTTGCTGAAGGCTCCACTCTCAAATTGGCCAAGCAGTGTCGGAAGTGAGTTGTGTGGCACTGCTGTGGCTTCCCACCTGTCCAACAGATCCTAAGAGAGGGGGATCTGGGTAGAGGGCACCTCCCGTGACTCCTCTCTGGCCTGCTCTCTGGCTTAGTAGGGGCTGCTCTCCTCCAGGCAGACCCTCATGGATCCTAGCACATGGGTGAAGGGATACCCAAACCCCTGGCTTTGCACTTTTGGTCCTGGTGTGCCTCTTCTCACCCCCAGTTCTGACAGTCGTCCCCTACCCACCACGTCCCCAGGTGGCTGTGCAATGACCAGATAGATGCGGGCACTCGGCGCTGGGCAGTGGAGGGCCTGGCTTACCTCACCTTTGATGCTGACGTGAAGGAAGAGTTTGTGGAGGACGAGGCTGCTCTGAAGGCTCTGTTCCAGCTCAGCAGGGTAGCTCTGGGGCTCCTGCAGTCAGTCATCCTGGGACACTGGCTGGGATCAGAGCTTACTAAGGCTTTTTTTTTTTTTTAATGGGGGGTGGGAGGCAGTCCTGGTGGCACAGTGGTTAAAGTGCTTGGCTGCTAACCAGAAGGTCAGTGGTTCAAAACCACCAGCTGCTCCATGGGAAAACATGTGGTAGTCTGCTTCCATAAAGATTTACAGCCTTAGAAACCCTATGGGGCAGTTCCACTCTGTCCTTTAGGGTAGCAATGAGTTGGAATTGACTCCACTGCAGTGGGAAAGGGCGTTTTTGGTGGGTCTTAACCAATGGCTCTTGTGACTTTTTCCTAGAGATCCCAGGGAGGGTGGGCGGACGGATAGCTCAGGTGACCACTTGGTGTGGCATGAAGCCAACAGTGTCAGAAACCATCATCTCTTGGGCGGAGCTGGGAAGGTCAAGTTTGTGAGCTCCTAACGTCCAGGGCCAGGCTTGGGCCTGGGGAGGTTCCCAGATTCAGCCTGCTGCCCGAATGGTCCAGCCAGGGGTAGAATTGGGTGCCCGGGCCTTGGCAGCATTTGTCCCAGTGCCGCAGAGTCCTCTGACCTCTGGGATGGCCAACTGAATGCCCTTCTGCTCCTGGCAGTCCGAGGAGAGGTCCGTGCTCTTTGCAGTGGCCTCGGCACTAGTGAACTGCACCAACAGCTATGACTATGAGGAGCCCGACCCCAAGATGGTGGAGCTGGCCAAGTATGCCAAGCAGCATGTGCCTGAGCAGCACCCCAAGGTAAGGGGCCACTAGAATGGGCTAGGGCTCTCCCTGACATTGGGGCCAGTTGACCCAGGGCATCCACAACAGAAGAGCCTCCCATTTAAGCGGGTTTCTTTCCCTTCTTTCCCCACGGTCATAAATTTGTGCTATGAGGAGGGGCCCACTTTCCCTTTCTAGTCAGCTGAGGTCCCTCTGCTAAGCTGCCTCCTTCCCCAGGACAAACCGAGCTTTGTGCGGGCTCGGGTGAAGAAGCTGCTGGCAGCAGGGGTGGTGTCGGCCATGACGTGCATGGTGAAGACCGAGAGCCCTGTGCTGACAAATTCCTGCAGGGAACTGCTCTCCAGGTGAGCCTCCTGGGGTGGGGCAGGTCCCTCCCAACTCCTGGGCCTTGGGCTGCTGTGTGACTGCAGAGGGAGCGGGCCCCGGTGCGGGGGGCCTCTTGGAGTGAGGAGGGCCACCTGCACGGTCATCTCCCCCTGCTGAGCAGAAGCCCGGGCCCTGCCCACCCATCACTGCCTTCTTCCCACAGGGTCTTTCTGGCGTTGGTGGAAGAGGTAGCAGACCGGGGCACTGTGGTTGCTCAGGGAGGGGGCAAGGTAAGCTGGTTGCAGACTCCTTCCTGAAGGCAGAGCCATTAGCCTATAAAACATGACTCTTCACTGCTATGCCAGCCACTGGTGTTGGCTGTAGGATGGAAATGCATTAACTACCAGCAAGAGCATCTTCCTGCTGAGTGAGGGATGCTGAACTGGGCTGGCTCCTGGAGTCCCTCGTACTTTGTGCTTCTAAAGGCCCTAGCTCTCCTCCTTTTCCTTTGCCACATTTCCTCCATGGCCCAGCACCCGGCACCGTCCATGTCTAGCCCTTGCTGGGTGTTGGAGGAAGTGTTTGTGATGGTTGATGAGAGCTCAGAGGTGAAGGGGGTCTCAGTAGGGAGTATGGTCAAGCCTGGGGAGGGAGAAGGGTGAGGGGAGCACAGTCAGTGCCTCAGGGCCTGATGGGATGGGCCTCTCGCTCCCAGGTCCCTCCTGGGCTCTGACCACTTGCTCCTACAGGCTTTGCTCCCGCTGGCCCTGGAAGGCACCGACGTGGGGCAGATCAAGGCAGCTCAGGCTCTCGCCAAGCTCACCATCACCTCCAACCCAGAGATGACCTTTCCTGGCGAGCGGGTGTGTGTCTTCTGTCCCAGCCCTGGCCTCACCTCGCCCCCTCCCTGGGCCCTGATGCTTCCGGCCAGGGCTGTAGCTCCTCCTTGGGTTGAGCAGGAAGTGGCAGCTTCGCTGAGCCCCGGGGTAGGGAGGGCAACACTCTCAGGGGGGTGGGTTCCTCCATGCAGGGACTGTGGGGCTGGGGGCGAGCAGCCCTGACAGACAGGTGCATGTCACAGATCTATGAGGTGGTGCGGCCCCTTGTCTCCCTGTTGCACCTCAACTGCTCAGGCCTGCAGAACTTCGAGGCGCTCATGGCCCTAACAAACCTGGCGGGGATCAGCGAGAGGCTCCGGTGAGGACCCTCGGGATGTGGGACCTGGGCAGGGCATCATTTATATTATCCCTCGTAGAGCCCTTTACAGTTTGGAAAGCACTCCTCAGCCATTGGCTTGTTTGAGCCTCACAGTGAGTCCCCTGCATCGTACAGATGAGGAGACAGGTTAAGAGAGCTTGTCTTGTGCAGCGCTCCTGAGAGGTGGCCCAGCCCTAGGGGACAAAGTGTGGGTTCTGGAGTTAGACGGTCTGAGTTCAAATCCTGACTTCACTGGTCACTAATTGTGTTACCTCAAGCAAGGTACTTAACCTGCCTCAGCCTCCCCCTCTGTGAAATGAGGATGATTATAGTACTTACTGGTGAGAAGTTACATATAAAAGTACTTTGCACTTAGGTGCCTGGTAACTAGCAATGTGCCAGTATGTATCAGCTCTGAGTCCTAACTGGGACCGTGGGCACACTGCTCAGCCTCATTTCCCTCTTCTGCAAAATAGTAGTGAGAATCACACCTGCACCTTCCCCGGAGGGTCGTGGGGAGGATTCAGCAAGGGCCTGCGTCAGCGTAAGCGCTCAAGTGTTAACTGTTAGCATCAGCGTCACCACCACCCAGGTCTCCTAACTCCTAGTCTAGAGCATTTTCCATGGCCCCACGTGGTCTACTAGGCCTGGTTAGAAGGCTGGAAACCACTGCAGTCCATACCTGGTGCAGGAGGACCCTGGCCCCTTGGACATTGCCAAGAGAAATCCCTGGCCCAGGGCTTGATTGTCTGGGGATGTGGGGTGGGGTGGCAGTGGACGCAGAGGCTCTGATGATGCTGGCCCTCTCCCTGCCCCCCTCGCCCGGGCCCTGCAGACAGAAGATCCTGAAGGAGAAGGCTGTGCCCATGATCGAGGGCTACATGTTTGAGGAGCATGAGATGATCCGCCGGGCAGCCACGGAGTGCATGTGTAACTTAGCCATGTGCAAGGAGGTGAGGGCTGGCCCAGGGCACTCACAGCGGGTCAAATGCAGAGGTGCCCCTGCCTGACTCGGTCCACCCCCCTTATCTGGCCACAGGTGCAGGACCTGTTTGTCGCTGAGGGCAATGACCGGCTAAAGCTGTTGGTGCTGTACAGCGGAGAGGATGACGAGCTGCTGCAGCGAGCGGCTGCCGGGGGCCTGGCCATGCTCACCTCTTTGCAGCCGTCGCTCTGCAGCCGCATCCCACAAGTGGTGAGTGCCTCTTCTGATGGTGGGGGAGGGCTGGGCCAGGAGCTCCCAGCATGATGGTGCTGCTCAGTGGCCACACGCTGCCCTGTGTCTTGCAGACCACCCACTGGCTGGAGATCTTGCAGGCACTGCTTCTGAGCCCCAGCCGGGAGCTGCAGCACCGGGGCGTTGTGGTGGTGCTGAACATGGTAGAGGCCTCGAAGGAGACCGCCAGCACCTTGATGGAGAGTGAGGTGCTGGAGATCCTGTCAGTGCTGGCTAAGGGCGAGGAGGGCCCTGTCACAAGGGCTGCCGCAGCCTGCCTGGGGAAAGCGGTGGAGTACGGGCTTATCAAACCCAACCAGGATGGAAAGTGAGGGGCTGCCTCTGGTTCCAAAGCTCAGGCACACCGTACCTGCACACCCCACCTATTGCAGCACCAGGAGCAAAGATAGAAGCCACTTTGGCTGGTGAGGGCTGGGATGCCGGACACTCTTGCCTCTGCTTCTCAGCTGTTGCTGTTAGGAGCCACGTGGAGCCACACAGCCCTGCTCTGCAGCACTGCCTCCAGCCTCACCCAGCAGAGCCCTTTCCTGTACTACTGTAGACGGCTGGGAAGGGGGCAGGTGCATCCCAACTTGGCCTGTGGATTCCCGGGCAACAGGAAAGGTACATCAAGCAGCCGCATCAGCTGTCAGCGTCCCCTGAGCCTGCTAGCAGGCCTGCCCTGACCCTCTAATAAAAGTGTGTGGAACTCGAATGTGTGCCGTTTCCCAGGGCAGGGGGGGCTGGCTGTGGGCTGGCATGTCACGGATGAGGGCACCCTGGAGGAGCATCACAGCAGCAGCAGAGCCACCACTATGGAAGGAATCCAATGGATTCCCCACCCCAGGGTGCTCTGAGTCACCTCTTAATCCTGCTGGGGGGAAAAGGGGTAAGTCCAGGAAGCTAATCAATAAAACACTATCCAGTGGAGTGGAAACGAAGGCTTTAGAGTACAGACTCCTCCCGTACGCTGACCCTTCAATACTTTTGTTTGTATTGAGTTCTCATTGACCTTCACTCAGGCTGCGTTCGGGATTTCGAGCCCATGTGGTGCCGGGGCACTGTCTTTCCTCACGGGAAATCAGTGGGCCCTCCTGTAGCTGAGCCCTTTAGAAGAAAGGCTGAGCTCTGCCAGGGTACCCGACCTGCCCCATGCAGAGCCCGTTTCCGCCACCAGCGCCAAGTCTAGCTGGAAGCTCGTTGGCTCGGCAGAGATGAGTGACAGGTCCTGAGCCAATAAAAGATAAGGCTAGCCGAGCGCTAGTACCTCTGCTTCCTGTTTTCGGCATCAGCCCCCTGCTCGCTTCCAGTAGTGAGCTGCCGCTGCTCCAAACTGGGGGGAATGGCGGGGTGCGCCGTCTCAGGGGTCGCTCCTCGCCAACCTTTTGGCTCGGGTCTTTAGGAGTGTTCCCCCACGGGGTTCTAATCCAAACTGTACTGAACCGAGCGCCGTGGTCTCACGAGTGCCTGCGGGGGGTGAGAACCATCCCGTGCGGTTTCTGCCTTGGGCCGGCGCTTACCGGAGGTTTCGCCCCATTTCACAGTTGAGGCCGCCGCGGTCCATCGTAGGCCTGGGGCCCTTAACCGATAGAGCTGGGACTGGAACCCCCGCCGCGGGGATCTGAAGCACCGAGGTGAGCCTGGTCCCGAGGACGTCACCGCCCTCGCCGGCGATTGGCCCCGGGGAGGAGGCTACTGCAGCCAATGGGCCGCCTCGCCCAGGGCGCGCCCCTTCAAACTTTTTCTATATTCCTTGTCGGTGTCAGCCAGAGTGCTGGGGCGGGCGACACGTTCCTGAGGCGTCTGGCCACTCTGCCCCCCCTCCACCCCCCGGCGTTTCCTCGAGGCTACCGCCGGAAGGACTCACCTGAGGAGGTGGAGGGCAAAGGGTCAGGATCGAGGTCAGAGGCTCCATTGGGTTGGGAGTGGACACGAAAGGTATTAGGATCCCAGGCTGGGGTCATGGAGTCTTGTTCGCAGGATCTGGCTTCAAAGGCTTGAAAATACCTATGAAATTCCCATCAAGCCGAACATGGTGTTCGGAGAAAGTGGCGTTGCTGTTATAACCACCAGACTATCTGTCTCCCCATTTAAGAGTGAGCTCCATGGAGGCAGACATCTGACCTTACGGCCAGAGTAAGGGCTTATTAAAATAAGAAATGACTGGATAAGGTCCTGTTGAAGTTTATGTCTATATATACCAGTTACCATCCAGTTGATTCCAACTCATAATGGTCCCATGTGTGTCAAAGTAGAACCGTTTCATAGATTTTTCAGTGACTGATTTTTCAGAAGTAGATCGCCAGGCCTGTCTTCAAGGTGCCTCTGGGCAGACCTAAACCTCCAACCTTTCGATTGCCAGCCAAGCCCATTAACTGTTTTTACCACTCAGGGTCTCCTGTGTTTATATAGGTCCCTGAAAACTAATAAATACCAGTGGCCATCATGTCAACAATAAGTACTGGTGAGTTTAATAAACTAGTACATGTTTATCATGTTTTGTGCCAGCATTGAATACATTATATGCATTTAGTTCAAACAATTCTATAAGGTAGGTACAATCAACACTCCCCTTTTAAAACTAAAGAAACAGAATTGGATTCAGAGAGATTAAATGACGAGGACCCAAAGCCACTGCTAGCTGTAGAAGCAAAGTGAACTCAGAAGCTAGTTGGTAACCTGTACAGGTACTGCCTCCTAAACTCCCTACTGTTTTCCACTGGCTGGTGGGAAGAGCACTGTACATGGAATCAGATGGACTTGAGTTAAGCCGTCTGTCTCTCTCCTTCTGAGTTGTGTGATTGTGTAAAGGTTACTTGCTCTGGGAGTCTCAGTGTCCTCCTTTATAAAATGACGACAGTTCTAGTTAGTTCACAAGATTACATGGGACGTGTCAGACAGGGAAGTGGGAGCTGGACAGGGGCTTCAGATCCTAGTGCAACACCCAGGGGAGAGGTTACTTAAATATCTCTTGCCCACTTTGTGGCATGCTGAACTTGAGCCTAAAGTGATTACAGGGTAAGTCACCCAGTCAGTGCCAGCCTCCAGACAGTTCAGAATCTTCTTCCTAAACCTGCTAGGACCTCAGGGAAGGCTGGAGCTCAGCAAACGTTTGTGGAGTGGATATTGTCTGCCCCTGTGGTTAGGAGAGGTCCCTGGGTGCTCCTGAACAGTTCAACCTCGACCACAAACTGAAAGGCTGGTGGTTCAAACCCACCCGGTGGCGCTGTGGAAAAAAGGCCTGGCGATCTGCTTCAGTAAAGATTACAGCCAAGAAAACCCTGTGGAGCTCAGTTCTGCTCTGTAACACATGGGGTCGCCATGAGTCAGAATCGACTGGACGGCAAAGGGTTTGGTGATTAGGAGGGCGGTATTCTTCTCAATTTTCAGATAGGGCAGCTGCAGCCCTTGGAAGGCCAGAGGCTTGCCAGTGCCACACAACGGGCTTATCTGCAAGAATCTCCTGCATTCCGACCCGAACCCAATGTTCCGCGGCCCACCCTAGCCAGGAGGCAGCCAGCAGAGGGCGCTGCCCCGGCATGGCCGAGGAGCGGACCGGGGTCTGGTTCGGCTTCGGCTTCTGCGGCTTCGGACAGGCTCTGGGCTCTGGGCGCCGGCGCCAGGTGCACAGCCCCGAGCCGCTGGGGGCGCCGGGCGCGGGCGTCGACATCTGCCGCGTGAGCGCAAGCTGGAGCTACACCGCCTTCTTGAGCCGTAAGCGTCCCCTTCTCTCCTCCCATTCCGGCCTGCTCGCAGGGTCAACCAGCCCCGGCCTAGACCCTTCCCCATTCTGGTTCGCGGCCCTGGTTGCGTCCCCACCCCTTCCCAGCCCGCTTTCTCCTCCGCCGCAGGTGGAGGCCGCGCCGAGCTCTCGGGCTCGGCGAGCGGCGCGGTTGGCGGCTGCAGGGACGCGTGGGCCTCGGAGGCGCTCCTCGTGGTGCTGCGCGCGGGGCCTGGACCCGGGGCGGAGCTGCAGGTCTGGTCGCCTGGCTCGGCACTGTGCGGGAAGCCCCTCTGGGCCCAGACCGTGGTGCCGGAGGCCGCGGGGGAACTCGGACCGGGCGGTGAGGCCCAGGCCGGGGTGCTGCCCCTGCTGCCCGGCGCCTGCGCGTACGTGAGCCCTCGCCCGCCCTTCTGCCGGCCTCTGGCCCCGGAGCTGCGAGCACGCCGGCTGGAGCTGGGTACCGAGCACGCATTACTGCTGGATGCCGCAGGCCAGGTGTTCTCCTGGGGCAGCGGCAGGTGAGTAGGGGTTGGGATGGAGGGGCGTGGCCAGGTGTAAGTCCGTTGGGCAGCTAAATGTGGCTGGAGGTGGCAGGCGAGTGTGACTGGGAGAAGGAAGGGGAGGGGCGCCCTTTAATGTGACTGTAGCTGACTCGGGTCTTCTTGCTCAGGCATGGACAGTTGGGCCATGGGACCCTGGAGGCAGTGCTGGAGCCAAGGCTCTTGGAGGTGCTGCAGGGCCTGCCCATGGCCGAGGTGGCTGCGGGCGGCTGGCACTCTGTGTGCGTGAGTGGTGAGTGACCAAGCACTTCTCCAAGCAAGCTCATGATCTTGTAGGCCCCAGACCTTACTCCTTTCTCCTTCCCTTCCATTGTTGGTGGGTGGCCTAGCCAGGTTTCCTTCTAAGCTCGTCTCATATGGATTCATCAACTCAGTCATTTATGCCTTCTAAATGTCTCTCAGGAGCCTTGATGGCACAGTGTGCAGTGTTAAGTGCTCAGCTGCTAACTGAGGTCGGTGGTTCATATCCACCAGCTGCTCTGAGGGAGAAAGTTGTTGCAGTCTGCTTTTGTAAAGATTACAGCCTTGGAAACGCCATGGGGCAATTCTACTCTGCCCTATAGCTTTGCTGTGAATTAGAATTAACTCAACAGCAGCAGGTTTAAATGTCTCTCAGGAGTCCCTGGGTGACACAAATGATTAAGTGCTTGGCTACTAACTGAAAGGTTGATGAGTCAAATCCATCCAGAGGCACCTCAGAAGAAAGGTCTGGCCATCTACTTCCAAAAGGACACAGTCATTGAAAACTCTATGGAGCGTAGTTCTACTCTGACACACATGGGATTTCCATGAGTCGGAATCAGTTCAATCAATTGGTTAAATGCCTCTCAGATTCATCCCCTCTGCCACCACCATCACTCACCCCCAACTGGACTGTTGGAGTTGTCTGCCTTCTCTCTGCTACGTCTCTCTACCCCTCCCATCCATCTGCCACCAACCAGGACTCTTTCTAAAGTACTCCCCAAGGGAGTGTGAAGGGGAGAGAGGGGTAGCGGAACCCACGGGCATGGAGAAGAAATATTGCATTTGCCCAGGTGGCCATGATGTGTGTGTGGCACAGAGTGGGCACTCAGATGCCCACAGGGAGGATGATGGTGGCAGGTGTGAGCCACTGGAGGTAGCGTGACTGGTGATGTAGGACCAGAATGAGGGTTTCGTTTTGGGTGTGTTGAGTTGACCGCCTTGGCGGGCGATCCAGGTGCAGCTCTTTTCTAGGCACCTGGAGGAACCCTGGTGGGAGCTGGGAGCAGATCAGCTTTGCAAGGATCTGCGTCTAGACTGAGAGCGGCCTAGAGCGGTCAACCTGGTTGCAGCTTTAAATCACCAGGGGGCTTTAAAAACACCCTTTGCCTACACTCTCCCCACCATATTCTCATGTAATGGGCTTGGGTTGGCAGCCAGGCTTGAGAACCATTGAGCTGGAGGGAGAGAACCAAGGGCTAGAGAGAGCCCAACAGGGAGTCTTACACTTAAGGCCCTAGGGGGAGGTTGAGGCCTTCAGTTTGGTGTAGAGGCTGGATTACAGGCTCTTCAAATCTGACTTCTTAGGTTCGAGTCATTTCTCTGCCCCTGTGACCTTGGGCAGGGTAGTTAATCTCTGTGTGCCTCAGTTTTCTTGTGAATAAAATGGGCGTATTGTGTAAAACAGGGATATTATAAGGCTGCTGTGAGAACTGATGATTATATTTGAAAAGTGCTTACAACAGGCACAGATTAGCAACTATCCTTAGTACATTTTTAGCAATAGGGCCGTTACTCTAACCAAAAAACTATATAGTGTTGGGAGGCAAGGGAAGTGAAGAGGCCTGGAGAAGGACCAGTGGTGGGGTGGGTTGAAGAAGGAAATGAGGCTCCCTGGATTTGAAAGGAATCCAATGGAGAACTTCCAGGGATACATTCTAGAAGTGTACGTGTGTGTACAATTTAGTAACAAAAGAAAAGAAGGAAAACAGGAGTGCCCTGCAAGAGGCTCAAAGAAAAGGGTGGCCCTTGAAGGGAAAGGGCAGGAGCCTGTTAAGGGAGCTGCTGGAGCCTGAGGGGGCACCTCCGCCTGGAGTGCAAACTTGGGTAGAGCAGGCATTAGTTGTCCCCAGGGAGCCCGCAGGGCCTAGAGGGGCAGAGGAGCATGGATGGATGCAGGGGGCTTAGGAGGTGGAGAGGGGTTCAGTCTGTTTAGTGGGTTCCCTTCGTCTCTCTTTCAGAGACTGGGGATATTTATACTTGGGGCTGGAATGAATCAGGGCAGCTGGCCCTGCCCTCCAGAAGCCTGGCAGAGGAAGGGAGGACAGTCACAAAGGAAGGTAAGGACGCTTGACTCCCACAGCTGCCTCCCCAGGAAGTTTATGTCACTCCCCAGTCCTAGCCATGTGCTGGTCCGAGAGCTGCAGTGCACAGAAGGAATATGTGACATCCTTGTGACCCCCAGACACACCCCGGGACTGAGCCCCTTATGGGGAGCTGACACTAGCCCCGCACTACACTAGCCACAAACCTATCAACTCCAGCACTTCCTGTGGAGTGTGGGGGTTGGAGCTAGATGATAATGTGCCTCATGGAGCCATTGTGAGGATTAGATGAGTTAATGTATGAATAAGGCTTAGGACAATGCTCAGTAAGTGTTCCCCATCGTCATCATTATCACTTTTGTTGTTTCTCTGAAGCCACTGGGCTGACTGTGGATGGTTCTGAAGTGAAGGGAGCAGCTGAGGGTGAGGATGGAGCCCCTGCCCCCTTCATCGCTGTCCAGCCTTTCCCGGCTTTACTGGATCTCCCTTTGGACTCAGATGCAGTCAAGGCCAGCTGTGGGTCCCGGCACACGGCTGTGGTGACACGTGAGTGGGGCTGGGCGAGCTGGTTCAGGATGAAGCAAGCAGTCACACCAACCCTGTTTTCTAGCTGGTGGTTGCAGAAAAGGGTGTGGCCAACTTAAAAACTGATCTGAAGCATCTTTGACACATACTGAGTAGCTGCTTCACTCAACAAATACAACCTCAATTCCCATGGGCTTCGGCTGTTACCCCCTAGCCTGTCAGGCCCAGGTTCGTCCTCCTGGAAGGAGGCTGTTCTTCAGCCTCCACACACAGGCAGGCCCATTCCCCACCATAGCACCGGCTCTTCGTCTGACAGCAGGGCCAACTGTGTCCAGCTTCTAAGACTCCTGAACTCAGAGGCTGTGGGATGCTGGCTCACCAGTTGACAGACATATGGGCTATGGGAAGGGCAACTTCTTTTTCCATCAGGACTCTTTACCACACCAAGTGTAATTAGACAGTTGTTAAAAAGAGAGGAACTATATTCTCTGCCAAGCAATCCCATGAGGATTGTAATGCTACTGGTTGTGCGTTGTTCTAGGCCAGGCTAAACAAATGCCTTGCCAAACAGCAGTATAACAGCTACTCACTGTCCTTTTTTTTTATTTTAAATTGTGCTTTAAGTGAAAGTTTACAATTCAGGTTAGTCTCTCATATAAAAATTTATACATACGTTGTTATGTGACTCTCATTGCTCTCCCTATACTGTGACAGCACACTCCTCCTTTCCACCCCGGATTTCCTATGTCCATTCAACCAGCTCCTGACCCTCTCTGCCTTCTCATCTCACCTCCAGACAGGAGCTGCCCATTTAGTCTCATGTATCTACTTGAGCTAGGAAGCACACTCTTCACGACTATCATTTTATGTCCCATAGTCCAGTCTAATCTTTGTCTGAGGAGTTGGCCTCGGAAATGGTTTCAGTTTTGGGCTAACAGAGAGTTTGGGGGCCATGTCTTCAGGGGTCCCTCCAGTCAAGGTCAAACCATTAAGTCTGGTCTTTTTACTGGAATTTGAGTTCTGCACTCCACTTTTCTCCTGGTCCATCAGGGACTCTG